AAGAGACACAGCATGGCTCCAGATATTTATTCACGTGAAGATGACATATAATTAATTAAAAACTATCCTAAAGGCAATTTTAAAAATTCATTACAGTTGATTTTCAGTACTTTATATTTATTTTAAGTATTTATTTTTAGAGAGAGGGGAAGGGAAGAAGAGTGGGAGAGAAACATCCATGTGTGGTTGCCTCTCATGCGCCCCCCTACTGGGGACCTGGCCTGCATCCCAGGCATGTGCCTTGACTGGGAATCAAACCAGTGACCCTTTGCTTCAGAGGCCCGTGCTCAATCCACTGAACCACACCAGCCAGGGCTTTTATATTCATTTAAAGTGAACCTAGAGGGTATTATGCTCAGGGAAATAAGTCACAAAAAGATGAATAGCGTATGATTTCACTGATATCTCGAATCTCAAGAACATAACAAATCAAGCAAAACAGAAACAGGGTCATAGGCACAGAGAGCAGACTGAGTTTGGGGGGCCAGGTGGAAAGGGGGACAGGGTGGAGAAGTACAGGTTGTTGGGCACAGAATAGTCTCAGCTTTCTCCGTCAATGGTAGAGAAGTTTGTTGTCCAGCCTATTTACTCAGACACAGACACCTCACTGAGCGCCAGCTCTTCCATGTGGCTGAGAAAAAACACAGAGAGCTGGATGCTTATACCTCATTCATTTTCACTCTCTCTCTCTGTCTCTCTCTGGTGAATCCACAAAGTTCCCTGTCTCTTAATGGGCTTCACCATCAGGAGAGGAAAACGCCCAGCAAATGTGATTTTACCGCTCGGAAAGCCAAAACCCCAACACAGAGGCCATCAGGCCTCGCCTTCTTTACATAATATATTTTACAATGAGATCAGCCTCCATGTGGGTAACGTGTGCTTTGGGGCAGAAATCATGGCCGTTGGTACTTGGAGTTACTTACCGTCTGGGAGGTCTGAGTAGGGGGAGCCTCGTCTTAATGGCGGCTTCCGACAGAATCTCCCCCCTGGAGAGGATGGTGCTGGAATACCCAATCGGGGTATGCATCACGTCAAAATGCCGCTGGCAGATACGGCTGTTTTCCCCACCTTTGCAGAGAAGACGTACTCTAGCGTCTTTCTTAACTCTCAAATTATAGGTATTCAGCAAATTACTGGTTCTCACCTGCTTTCATTAAAAGTTTTATTCACGTAATTCCTTTTGTAGTATCCCTTTCGGTGTTTGAGAAAATTAGTATACAGGGTCTGGCACCCATCACGCCTCTTTCTTCTTGCAAAATCCTTTATTACAAAATTGTAGGCTTGTGATTCTCTCACGTGACGCTGTCACACTTGAGCACACCCTAGGACCTGCTAGGTGACATGTTCAAATTAAAACTGTAAATTGTTACGCTCGTATTGTTATCCTACCAGCCACCCTCAGGTAGGCGTTAATTTACTCCCGACCCTGTGTGCACTTTATGACAATGTAATGTATCGATATGTGTAACATATATTAAATCGATGCATGTATGTGTGTGTAACTACACTCCACCCCTTGTGAAATAATCTCTTTCAGCATGTGACATGGACGTGACAAAGCTTTTATTACTTTGTCCCCAAGTATGTTGCTTGGTTAAGTGTATAGTGATGGTGTTTTAACGATGGTGATGGGTATTTAATAGGCTCGTTTTCAAAGTCCTCACGACTTGGAATGCTAACACTTTTAGACTCGCCGACTGTTTCGGATGGTATTTGCACACAGTCCCACACATACAGACAGACGTATAGGGTACCGGTGCTCACAGTGATCAGTGTACCCACCGGTCCTCCCAAGGCCCCGTAATTCCATATTTGGTGACTGAGACCGGTCGCTCTCCCCCTGGAGTGACTGTACCCGGTAGCAACATCTGGAGACATTTGTCACTCTTAACACCGGGAGACCATGCTACAAGCATGTTCTGGATGGAGAGCAGGGGGGCGGCTCACCCCTGAAACGCATAGGCCAGCTCTCGCACAAACAATCACACCATCCAAAATAGCGATCGTGCCAAGGTGGAAGGGCCCCAGGATTTAGGTTGCATTCTCTTTGTGCAAAGTGGTCAAATTTCAAAAGAACTGAGCAAGTACCATCGCTCTGCACGCAGGGTTGTTTGGAATGTGTAAGCCAGATGTGGGAAATCCGGACATGCGCTGAGGTGCCTCCTCCCAGTTCCCGTGGTGCCCTCTGAACCTTGGGGGTGGGCAGGGTGACAGAAGGGGGACACCTAATGATGCTGTCAAGCGGGAAGTGTGCCCGTGTCCCCGCTGGGTGGGGGAAGTGAGCCTTGGACCACAGTTCCTGCAGCAGGTCACTGTGGAGGCCCTGGGGCGAACCCACGCCGCCTGGATCCTATGATCACGGACCCCCGAGCTGCAGTCACTGAGCGAGGCTTTGCGCGGACTCCCTCATCAGTCCCCCAGTTCTGTGTCCCCTCTTTTATCTGTGGTTCCCCCTCTGCGCTGGCCTCATTCCACCACGGTCCAAGAGCAGTGCGTGGAAAATTCCAGAAACATAACAGTTGATGAGTTTTAAATTGCATGCCGTTCGTCAAAGAGCGGGAGGAAATCTCTCAATGCCCACTCTGGCCACCGGGGACCTGGATCATCTCTTTGGGTGGCAACTTCATGATGGAAGCCCTGACCCACCTGTTAGTCATTTGGTCTCTATCTGTCGGATCCGATTGACAGTCCTGGATCCAGTGAAGGGTGTTCACATCACCCTTCTTTTACTCGTAACGTCCTCCAAGGATAAGAATAGAGACGCTGGCTGGCGGTTTGCGTGCCGAGGACCAGCCATCAGGTGCCTCCTTTAAGTTAAAAGTTGGACGTTCTCAACGTAACTGTAGGATCATCTCACGTTGTCACAAAAGCAGAGTAGCATAGGTATTTGGAAAGCGAGAGACCACATTCGTGTATAACTCATTACAGTATGTTGTTATACTTCTCCTGTTTTATCATTATTTACTGTATTTTGGGGGCCATCAGACGCACCTAGGTGTTAGAGGTGAAAAAATAGGAAAAGAAATTTTGAAGCAGAAATGTTATAGCTTAAATAATATTTCACCAATAGAAATGTCCACAGAACTCAACAGCAGCATTAACAATCATTATTCCTTCCAAATTTGGGGAGGGGAGAAACGTATGTCTTACAGTCCTAAAAATACGGCGATTGTTCATATATTGCTGTACCTAGTTTGTCATTTATCTTTGCCATCGGTGAGTGTGGGTAGGAGAAAAACACAGTATAGGGAGGTTTTGGGATGATCCATCCCTTCAGGCATCCAGTGGGGGTCTTGGAACACATACGCTGTGGATAAGGGGAGGTCCTAGGCTGCGGCATAGACAGAGCAGTAACGAGGACCTCAAAGCATTTAAATGACTTGCTCTACGCCAGCTCAGCGCCCCACGCTCTGCTGACGCAAAGCCTCTGCTTGTCCCCATGATCCTTTGGAGCAGGTCCGTGAGCAAAATCCCAGCATGGCGCCTCGGTGGACTGTGCCTTTTTTCTGTGTATCGCCCCCTGTGCTTTTTTACCACAGCCCCACAGATATGGCCATTTTGCCGAACCTGAGGATGTCAGATCACATTCCTCCCCTCACAGGGGCTGAAGTCGGTCCAGTTCAGAAATTCACGGCGTCTCTCATTACCACGTGGGAGGCTAGAGAAGGAGGAACCCACTGTGGCTGGAGAGCAGGATGGCTTTCAGGAAGAGAGAAGACTCCCAGCAAGTCCTCACCTCTGGTCTGTCTCTCGGCTACGGAGACATCGGGTCACAGTGTGGCGGCTCTCCAAATGTCTGCGGAAGAATTCAAAGAGGCACACATAAACCAGCCACTGCGGGCGATGCTATTTTTCACGTTCTTCCTTTTTTTCAATCCTTATCCGAGGATGTGTTCACTGATTTAAGAGAGAGAGAGAGAGACATGGATATGCTAGACAAATATTAATCGGCTGCTTCCCAGATGTACCCCTATCTAGGGGTGAACCTGCGACCTCTCTGTGTACGAGGTGAAGCTCCAACCAATGAAGCCTCCCGGAGGCGGCTATTTCCCACTGTCCCTGTTACCATAAGATTTCTGGAGCATCTGCATTCAGCTCTGGCGAGCTTGACCCAGGAAGTCATTACCTATGGCATTTCCCATAAATGTACTACATTTCCATGACAGATTCAATCCCGACACAGGACATTTAAACAACAGTGACCATGTTGACGTAGTCCGCTCAGCTGTCCAGGTAAACGAAATGTGTAATTAGGTTCCAGTCCAGAAATGCCACCCCCCTGAAGCCCCCAGTGTCTTTACAAAATGAGCGTGTGAGTTGAAGGATGCTGGAATATTCCTTCGCCATTAGAAAGAAGGAAATCTGAGAATTGCGTCCGCGCAGATGAACTGCATGGAGAGTGTTGTGCTCAGTGAATTAAGTCAGAGAAAGACAAACATCATGTAATGTTACTTACCTGTGGAGTATAAAGGACAAAACAAAATAGAGACAAGAAACTGAGGGTTGTCAGAGGGGACTGGCCAAAAACGGAGGCCAGTTTAGCTCATTCTTCTCATCCCTGTCCCGGAAAACTTAGAGCTCCCGCCATACCTCTGGAGAGAGCGATGGCTTAAACTTTTTGAGAACTGGTGTTTGGGGGAGTTCCCTGTTCATCCGTGGGCCAGTCTTGCCAGTAATAGTGAGTGAAATTGGGAGACGTCATTACAGTTATCGAGGTGATGTGTGTACTTTTGGGGGTTTGTTTGCTCGTTCACCAAAGCCTGGGTGAGTGTGTCTCCCCGACGCCGGGGGTAGTCGGAGCTCAGTGGGCACGTGGCAGGAATTAGGACTCGCTTGTCACGCTCCACGGGATCTTACCTCCTGGCTGTGCCAAGGTACAGGTTCAGCTGTGAAGGAGGTTGCGTAGCGTGGGGTCAAAGGCTGCATAGAGGGGACAGTGAAGGGCACACGCGGCTGCCGTCTGGCCTTCATCATCTTTGTTTGCTTCCTCTTCCCCACAGGCCCACAACGGCTCATTCCCGCAGTTGTCGTAAGGAGCCGGCGCCCTTGGCAGACATTTGGGGTCATCGCCTCCTCAGACCCTCGCACTTGCTTCGATTTGCCTGCGGCCTCGAGAGAAGGCTGCTTGCGGGCCATGGGCTGCTTCGAACCCTGCTGGGCCTGTGCTGGACACTGATCTCGTCTATGAGCCATCGGCGAGGCTCGCTGGCCAGCCCTTCTCCTCTGCTGGGTCCCCGGCCCCCCAGGTCCGGCCTTTCTGCCTGCGGCTGGCGTCTCAGCATCGCTTGCTCGGAGTCCTGTCTCCCCGGCGCCCACGCATGTTGCAGTGAACAATGTCGAGACCCACGGGACGGTCATGGCTTGCTCTGTGCTTCCCCCCGGTCTGCGCCCTGCTGAACCCCAGTGTCCTGCTGGGGCTCACGGCCCTGGTCCTCAAGGTCACGCTCGTTGACGGTCAAGCCCAGCACCCTGTCGTCAACACCAATTACGGCAAAATCCGTGGCCTAAGAACACCCTTGCCCAATGAGATTTTGGGCCCAGTGGAGCAGTACCTGGGGGTCCCGTACGCCTCTCCCCCCACGGGCGAGAGGCGGTTTCAGCCCCCGGAGCCGCCCTCCTCATGGACTGGGATTCGCAATGCCACTCAGTTCGCCGCCGTGTGTCCCCAGCACTTGGATGAGAGGTCGCTCTTGCATGACATGCTCCCCATTTGGTTTACCGCCAACCTGGATACTCTAATGACCTACGTTCAAGACCAAAACGAAGACTGCCTCTATCTCAACATCTACGTACCTACGGAAGATGGTAAGTCCCGGAAGGAATCAAAAATGCGTCCCCGCTGTCTGGTCTCAGACGGGGACGCCCGGGGGCCTTCGGCGTGCCCTCCCCATGCCTCCTCTCACCTTGCACCCATTGATTTCTTCTCGTATTCAGAGTACCGTTCTGGGGTCACTGTGGGCCTGTGCCACCGTGTTTCCTGAGCCTCTACAAGAGGGTCAGTATTTCCTCCTGTTTATATCTTGCCTTTTTAGCCCCGTTTACGGGTTGACGGGCAGGAGGTGATCGGCGTGAGTGTGCCGTGTGCCTTCCGATACCCGACTCCTCTGAGAAGAGGTGAGTCTTAAAATCGTACAGTGGAGAACATTAGGATGTTGCAGGCTTTGCACTGAATATTTGAAGGAGTGGTTGCAGTCGCCGTATTCCTGTAGGAGTCCCGTAACCTTCTTTGGTCCGTTTCAGCCTTGAAAGGAGCCACTGGGTGCATTTGCCACCCAAGCAAGGGCTGTTTTGTAAAGTGGTCAAGCTTCGTTATTGGGGATCCATGATTTGAACACCAACGGGCGTTCCGTTTTTTTCCCCCACATCCAGGGCTATCCAAGGGCCAGCGTGTGTTGTGACGTGATAGTAGGTGACGTGAGAAAATAATGGGCTCGTCGGAGCAGAATGGCCTCTTTGTGTTCGATGCCAGGCCAGTGAAAAACGCCTCTAAAAACGGCCGTGTGTGCTGTGTTCATCCACCGTCCAGGGAGGGTGGCATTGGAGGGTCTCCTCTCCAATCCGAAGTGTAGACTTCAGATTAAAATTTTCTGTGGTGTCCAACCAGAGCAGTTATGGCTCGATGATGTCCCCCTGTTTTTCATTCACCATTTGCAGACGCTCTTTTTAGACAAGGACAGGGGAACGCGTAGAGGGAACCTTACTGAAATTCAGAGAAACAGTTTCCGAGAACGGCCAACGTCACCTTCCATAGACACCAGCGTGCGTCCATCCTGACTTGAATGGAGGGAGGTCTGTGTTTTTCTTTCGCCTTTTAATCCTTGGAAAATGATTCTCAGTGAGATTGGTATGGCAGTTGGAAATAAAGGAGGACATTGCTCTGGGATCTCAGAAACTGAACTCTGCATGTGGGGGCTTGAATGTGGTGGGAGTGCCGTGTCGGGAACGCCCCAGCCAGGGGCACCTGTTCTGCACGTCACAGACAACAGCGGCCACAGAAAGGAAGGAAGCAGCCATGCTTCCTTGTATTGGTAGCTTCTGGCATGCGTCCCTTGTTGTCATGGACACAGAACGCACAATTATCCTGTAGACCTGTGGGTCTCAGTGTGATTCACAGAGTGCCACTGACATTTGGACTCTGTGCTTCCAGCGTTGGGTGGAGGTGACTTTGTGGGGAATAGTCCCTGCACCCTGTGTCGTGAGCCTGGGAGAAGGTGAATAGCAGCCCCCACCTGCAGTTACAGCTGCCGTTTTTGCAAGCTACCTGGCTGGTGGTCTTTCTCCTAACGGACTATTCCCAGTAAAAAAAAAAAAAATGACAAAAAAGGGAAGACAAATAAAGAGGGAGGAGAGATACCACACAGGATAAAGGATGAAAATGGTTTCATAATGCAGCTGGTGTGCCAGAGGGTCCGAGCCAGTGACATTTCACAGCTGACCTCATGAACAATGTCTGCCCCTCAGATAGACTTCCTCCTGCTGGGGAGGTTGGACCAAATTAGACCACCCACGCAGAAAAATCAATAGTTTCCTTTCATTGATTGCAAAGCTATAGCTGTGCAATTGTGTGTGTGCAATGCAACCAGAAGCCACTGGGCCATTTTTCTGGGGCTGGCTTGCCATTGAAGAGGAATTGGAGAATGTGAAAATGTGGAAAGAAGGAAGCCAGTGCAACTTGTTTATTACTTCTTTGTTTTTTTTAAACCAGTTTTGCTTACACTTGTCTTCACTGGGTCTGGAAAGGGAATCGGGCCCCTAAGTATCACTGAAAAGGTAGAATCGATCCCCCTGTAATATCTGAAGTTTCCTGGTGACAGCTTCAAGTCACAGATTGCTTAAAAGCACAAGTCAGTCTTGTGGGTCACATTTTTTTTTGTTTGTTTTGTCTCCTGTGACATCAGTTTGAGCATCAGTGTGGAACTGTACATATTTAACTACTGCTCATTCACTAAGTGATCAACCCCAGTTCTAACCACAAACGTCAATCATAACAGCCTCACACTGACGTCTCCAAAGGTCCTCTTTCAGGGCGTGTTAACGATTCCAATCATTGCCTTTAATTCACAACCCAGGCAGCAACGGTGCACAATTTAAGTTCAGAATTCCACTCTGATACTGCTTTTGTTTTAGATTTGGGTTTGTCCATGGATTGGAGGGTGCAGGTTCACTACCAAAAATAATTCCAAGCACTTGGGACGTGGCAGTCATGTGCTCCACCAGAGGGTCCCGAAAGGGACGTGGATTTTTAATTTTCAAAGACGCCAGTTGCAGGCAGCATACTGACTTCCCACAGATATGCACGTCCTAATCCCCGGACCGGTGACTATTTCCTTACATGACAAGGGGCGTAGAATTAAATCCGGACGTGAATGTATGTTCGCCGATCAGTTGGCCTTAACCTAGGAGGAGTGTATCCTGGATTCATCGGGGGTGGGCTTGGTGCTTTAATAACAAAGCTGCTTAGTTGTGGGAGAGACCAAGCAGGAGAACCAAGCTGGAGTGATGCCGTGTAGGAAGATGTTGGTGGCCATGGCTGGCTTTTGTGGATGGGAGGCAGCTAGGAGTCTGGCAGTCTTCAGGGGCTACAGAAGCCAAGGAGATGGATTGCTTTGAGCTCCCTCCCCCGCCCCTCCAAAAGCACAGCTGACGGGACACCTTGGTTTCGGCTGCACGGCATTGCGACCTTCAGAACTGTAGGACGGCAGCAGTGAGCCGTGTTGCCCCCACAGCATATTAGGATATGACTGCCATCACGCATGAAGCTTTGTGGACAAAGGACAATTTGGATGTTTTGCTCTATGTCACTCAATGACATCTGGGCACTTTCGTGCCCAGAGCGAGTTCCCGTTCGAATTTCCTCATGAGTGTGTTGCCTCATGGGAAACAAAGCCACTCCCTGAGAGCTGTTTTGAGCTTTGGGAAATCACCCCCATTCTGGGATTCTCACGCATTTCTTCCTTGTCTGCCTGGAGAATTCCCGGTAGGAAACACTCATCTCAACACTGTGTTCCATCCTTCTTACCAAGGAGAAGAAAAAAATCGGTCCCCACGGGTGGGCAACATGAGGTGTGTTTGAGGCTTGCACTCTGTGGGGTGAACACCAGGACTGTCGATCCCCATGTGAACAACAGCCTCATAAATGGCGTCTTCAGAGAGTCACCCAGACCTCACACACGCAAGAATTGGGAGTTTCAGATTCTCTGGGCAGGTTTCCAGAGTAGATGTCATTGAGTGACATAGAGCAAAACATCCAAATTGTCCTTTGTCCACAAAGCTTCATGCGTGATGGCAGTCATATCCCTAAATGTCTTCCAGTCCTACTGAACACCCGGTTAAGCAAAATCTTTTGGGTGCCCGGCTTCTTCCCTGTAGACCTCAAGATCCGATCTGTTCTGGCCAAACCGATTCTCTGTTTTTTCCAAACAGTCTTCATGCATTGATCTCGTAACAGAATATCCCTTAACTCTCTCTCTTTTCCAGTTTTATTGAGAGAAGACTGAGTCACATCGTGGTATAAGCTGAGATTTGCAGCACAGTGGGCGGACTTACATATACTGTGGAGTGGTTGCTGTTAAGTGTAGTTCACCTTCATTCTCCCATAGAGATCCCACAAAAAGAATGAGATCTCGGGATGTGCATTCAGGATTCGTTCTGCAAACACCCTTCTTGCATCCCACCCGTCAGTGCTAATTAACGGCGTTCATCATGGTCTACATCAGTCCCGAGTGTGGAGTCTTCCTGCCACCGGAAAGTGGGTGTCTGACCACCTTCACCCAATTCTCTCATCCCCTTCCCCCAACTCTGAGACAAGTGTTTCCATCTTTTTCTCTGAGTGTGGGCTTTCTTGGTATTTGGTGATTTTTGCCTTTATTTTTGAAAGATTCCTTGTATAACAGAGAACATACAGCATTTGTCTTTCTCTGTCTGACTTATTTCTCTTAGCCTAAATATCCTCCAGGTGTATGGATGTTGTTAGAAAGAGTAGGATTTTTCTCCTTTTCTTTGGCTGAATAATATTCCATGATATCTACATCTTTATGCACCTGTTGAATATCTATCTATCTATCTATCTATCTATCAATCAATCATCTATCAGGTTTTCTTTATCCATTCATCCATCGTTGACCGTCCAGGTTGGTTCCATGTCTTGGTTATTGTAAATAATGTTGTGTGAACACGGGGTACAAATATTTTCCCTCTACCGTTTTATATGTAACTTTGGTTTACTGGTCTGGCTAAGCTTAGAGACAGGGCCCAGAACTTATCAGCCTGGCTTACATTCTTGCTTGTCGCCTTCCCAGTTGAATGGTGATGGGCAAGTTACTGGGCTGGGGCGTGCCTCAGTTTCCCTGTGTGTAACAGGAAGCTGCAGTGGGAAGGTTAAGGCTTTAACCCATAGCAAGTTCTCAGGTCATTATCGTGCACAAACAGCCACTGTAATCTGGTGTTAGTGCCATACAATTAATAGTAGAACAAGTAACAGGACATTCGGGCTGTCTTGCTCGTGTGTATTGGGTTGAATAGATGAATCCAGCCCGTAATAAATGTGTATTGTTTATAACACAATCATTTACTGAGGAAGTGGATAAAGGGACCCTCCTTTCTTAGTGTTCCGAGCATGGCTTTAGCTAAAGGGAGTTTAAAGCGAATAGCGTTTGTTTGTGAAAAGCTCAAAGAATCGTTCTGCCTGCTTTCTTCCGTGGCTTCATCTTCTTTCGCACCGAGCTGTCCCGTGGATTTTTAGCATTCTATGTGACATACAGAAATTGTCATTAAGAAAGCATGAACGTTTGTTTCTTGGAAGAATG